AAGGCGTTGCATCTGTGTGTGTACCGATGTGTGCCCTTATTAACTCATAGTGGATGTGCCTGGACTTATGGTGAATGCGCCGTGGCAGCTGAGAAGGCGTTGCATCTGTGTGTGTACCGATGAGTGCCTTTATTAACTTATAGTGGATGTGCCTGGACATATAGTGAATGTGCCTGGCCTTATAGTGAATGTGCCGTGGCAGCTGAGAAGGCGTTGCATCTGTGTGTATACTGATGAGTGCTCATATTAACTTATAGTGAATGTGTATGGACTTAAAATGAATGTGCCTAGACTTATAATGAATGTGCCGTGACAGCTGAGAAGGCATTGTACTGGTGTGTACTGCTGTGAGCTCCCATTCACTTACAGTGAATGTGCATTTAAATAGAAGCTGAGACGGCGTTGCATCTGTGTGTATTGATGAATGCCCTCGTTAACTCATAGTGAATGTGAATTGGCAGCTGAGAACGCGTTGCATCTGTGTGTAGTGATGAGTGCGCACAACCACTTATAGTGAGTATGCCGTAGCAGCTGATAAGGCGTTGCATTGGTGTGTACTCATGTGTGCCCCCATTCACTTATAGTGAATGTGTCATTTGGTGCGTTCACAGAAACTTCCACACCATGCCATTCTTCTCATTCCTCAGGTTTTCTCTGACCCTGCGCGAAGGGGTTTATCAATTCAGGGTTTTAGGGTTTGAGGGTGTGGGGATTAGGGATTAAGGATAGGGTTTAGGGGTGGTGGGGTGCACCAAACGTCCGGATATATGGACAATAGGCCGTTGGAACAAATCTTGTGAGCAGAGGTCAAGCAATGGCAGCAACTACATACAAGGAGACGTGCACAGCCCCATTCGATATCACTGTACATAAACTAGTATAAACTAAATAAGAATATGTAGATTGAATGAACGTATATAAACTGAATAAACATATATAGATTAAATGAACGTATACAAACTACATGATCATACAATAAACTACCCATCCCCACATACCTGAGGATAAACTCCATGATCGAGTGATTGAGCAACTCCAGCACATTCACATCCAATTCTGCGTTCAGGTCGAGCTGTGTATATATCAAGTGGCCGAGTGAACGTGGGCATATATGAATGATGGTTGACGCAGTCCATGGTAAAGGCAAGAATACGTACACGCACACAACAGACAGGGTCTAAAACAACTACCCCTCAACAAAACACAACAAAACACAACACATACACACCCAAGCCCATTGGATACTGAACAACCCCACACTAAGCATTGCCGTAAACCCTAAAATCCTAACACACCTCGTGGATGACTGTGCAGCGGTGTGCGTCTTCGGATAGTTTCTCCAATACATAACCAGCGAAGGAGATGTGCCCTCGCACCCGTCCTGTTTGTGGGGGAGCCGCAGGGTGCTCAATTGACCTAATCACAGCGAACCGACGCTCGTCTGCGGCAGAGATGGGAGGAAAGTGGGAGGGTAATCAGTCGTAAGGAAGAGGGTTAGTACTTGGTGGTAGGTAGGATAGGGTCACTGGCCGGTGGTAATTAAGGCAACTGACGGTTGGTTGCTTTAGCACAGTCAAGTGGCGCCCGTCGCGGCATTGAAAGGAATGAGCAATTTTAGTGTATACTCATTTAGCCACTCGCACCAATGGACACGGACGAATATGCCTCACACCCCTCCCCTCCCCTATAACTTGACACCAAGGCACTCACCACGCACAGAACACTTGTAACCGAAACACTACAGTACACACATGTGATACTAACGCTATAGTACACATACAAATGGATAGGACAAGAATGAACCAATCACCAGCACACTGTATCCGTGCCAACCCACACTCAACTGACTTCTACACACCCGAGCCCTAAACCTCAAAACCCTAAAAGCACGCAAATAAACTATTGCGACACCAATGCACCACTCGACAGACTCACCCTTCAGCTCCCGCTGCACCTGCAGGTACAAAAACTCGAACTTATAGGGCAGGTCATAGTCCTTGAGAGGCTCAATCAGATACGCTGGGGCGTAGTAGATGATCTCCTCGTGCTCACGCAGTTGTTCGATCATCACAGATACGTTGCGGTTTCCTTTGGACACCATAAGGCCACGGGCCATGTCATCCTGGAATTGTCCGCCTGCGTAGGGGAGTGTGGTGGTGTTAGTATGGAGATGGAGTGGTATGTGATATAGTAGAGAAGAACACGAACGTACGAAAACACACATACGAACAAACAAAAAACCAACAAATATATATATGTATATATATACTTATATAAATATATACATATACATATATACATATAT